ACTGTCACAGCGTCGTGGTTAACATCGGTGTCACTTCGGGTGCAGGTGATATACCCTGACACCCAGTCTCTTCTGTGTGAGAGGCTGATTCTAGGAAGACTGTGAAATGGTACGAACCTGTAACTTTGCTGGTAGAAACTGAAGATTAACAGAGAACTGTGTTTCACTCAAGTGCCAAAAAGGCCTTGAGCCTCCTAGCCCAAAATCTACACAGTTTTTGCATTTTTTTCACATCAATCCAGACAGTTGTCCCTCCCCTCCCACCCCTCAGGACCTGTCCACCATTAAAATGCACAAGCCACACAGCTTGTTTTATCACGTACCTTTATTTTCAGGAGTTACTACAACCAAGTTCTGTTTGGGACAAGTGTAGACAAATTCTTAAAGAACCTAAGTGGAGTCTAGCTAGGACAGGAGAGGGAAGAAGAGTGTCAGGAAGCCAAGAAGCAGACTTGGAAGGCCTTCTCCACGGGCTGACGAGGGTCCGTTTCCCCTCTGCCGTGACACGGCCCTTCCAGGACTTCACGCTGGGGATCAGTCCCCACGGAGGGCCAGTTCCTGTAGCCACCCATCCTCCAGTCAGTGATGGGACGTAGCTGACCCTGGGCTCTACCGTCGCAGTCAGTCACCTGAGAGACATTTCCTTCCGAATTGTATTGGAAGAGAAAGAAAAGCATGTCTGAGCACGTCTAAAGAAAGCAAGAGCCGGTTTTAAACACGTGGTGGCCAGAAATCGTCAGTTGCGTGGACGGCGTCCTCTCCCTTTGGCTGTGTTCTCAACTATACAGAAACATTTATTTTGAAGGTTTTGACTGCTGTTCATTTGAAATATGTTAACCTTGTTATGGAATTCGGTTTTTTAAAAAGATGTTTCCAATTGGGATTTTTAAAAGAAGAATGGAGTTTGGTTGCTATTTTATGACAGAACCTAAGCTTTTTGTGGTTCTTGGTGTCCTGTGTAAAACTTGGTGTGAAAGTAATCATCCTTGAAGTGTCCCCTTCTATTCTGCTTTATATTACAAGCCCATTAGGAAATGGGAACCTGGTGAATATATAATGAATTGTAAAATATTTTAATGTGTAACTTTTTCAACTGTGAAACTCTGACTTGGTTTTTGATGAAAACAGCTGCTGATAAAGTACTTTGTGTAAAGTGTAGTTCTTATTCATCAGGAAAACGATGACTTGATTCAACTGTATGTACCCTCTTGGATTTTATTTTTAGTAGATTGGTGATTTCCACATACGTAAAATACAGTCCATCTGTATTCCTATTTCCAACAGGAGTTGAATGATTTGGCATTATTAAAAAATGGTGAGCAGCCCATTTCTAAATACCATGGAAATTTCAGAGCACACAAACTTGGGTTTGTTTCTTTTATTTATGACTTTGTATATTTGTTTAATTTCTGTTTTGATCAACAATTGATGCTTGCCAGCTCTTCAGAAGAGCAATGTTTTAAAGCTAAAATATTTACTTGTTCTGAATCCCATGAGTCCCTCTTGTCTGTGTCTGCACAGACGGCAGGTCTGGCTGGGCCCCTGCGTTCAGGATCCGCCTTTCAGAGTCATTTTGATGTCCAGGACATCTCTGAAATATTTCCATTTTTTGAAAGACTACGCAGTGTGGGTAGGTAGATGGCGGTGCTTCTGTTTAAAGACAGCTCGCACATGTCCGCCGTTCCTGGGGAGAGGGGTGTGGAGAGGGGGTAGAACAGGGAGAGGTCGTTTGAACCAGTTGTCTCTATGCCCCTCCTGCTCAGGCGGGGTGTCTGAGAGGAGGCTGGGAGTCGGGTGCTCACTGTGCCTGGCAGGGACGCCACTGCACACGGGGCATAAAGGCGGGCTGTCAAATTCCAATCATTCTTGGCAGAGTAATACAGCTGGGCTGTTTTTTAAAATTCAAACACAAAACCATTTTTATTACTACATTAAAATTGTAAATATTTCTTACAGGTCATGGCCTGGGAAGCCTTTTTCTTTCCTCTTAAAAATCATTTTCACTCTGAGATGACAGGTGCAGCTCAAAGAGACTATGGCCTGCCAAAGTCGATGGCAGATCTGTCCAGGAAGGCCAGCAGAGGGAGACGGCCAAGTCACCACTCAGCGAGCCCAGGCCCTGCCAGCCACTGCACTTCACACCTGTCCAGGTAGAACTGCGTGCCTGTGCGGAATGGTATAGGGGACATTAAGGAAAGTGCGTGGCCAGATGGGATCATCGCCCAGTCATTCTGAAAAGACGAGCGTGAGCAGGCTCGTGGCGCAGGTCCTTGCCCTCGGCCTGAAGTCAGCGTATTCCTCCTCACTGCAGTGCATGTGCTGTGCTCACATTTGCACGCGTTTCTACTTGTGCACGCGCAGCTTCACCCTCATCAGGAAGTGTCGTCTTTAGAACATCAAGGTTCTGAAACTCAGGAGCGTTTAGAATGTGTCGGAGCCCTCCGGTCAGGATGTCAGCCTTGGAGTGAACATCCTCATCTCACTCAGGTGTCCCACCTGACTGAGGTTCTGTACCTGCTCTGTCTCAGTGCAGGTCTGTCCCTCGGCTTGGTTTCAGGTATGTCAACATGCCAGCCGTGCTAGTTAGAATAGAGTGACAGCTGTCAGCCATAAGGACATTCTCTGACTTAATTTTTAATCAACTGGGTATAAAAGTTTGGGGGGTGAAACAAAGCCATGGTATGTATAGCATCATTAGGTAACTGAGTTCCACTACCAACTCCATTCTTCACATTGGTAAGTACAACGTTTCAAGTAAGCCAATTAAAGTCTATGAACCGTCAGCACAATAATTTGTGGCTGTGCTAAGAACCACGTATATTTTAAGTATTCTTATTTGTATTCACCCTTCTAGGTTAGCAAGGAGGCAGAAAATCTTGATCATTTCATATTAAAATATCTTTAATAAGAAAACTCCTTAGTTCTAGTATGGATTTTCAAATGTAGTCATTATCTATTGCTTTTATAAGAAAAAAATCTTTTGCCAGATTTAACATATGTTCCTAAGAGTGATTGGGGAACTTGACCATCACATGATTTCTAAAGATGGTTCTGGCCGTGGAACTCGAGTTTCCAAGTGCAGGTCACTGTGTGAGCTGGCCCTCAGACCACCTGGGCTGAATGAAATCTACAAGGACACAGACCCTTTTGCAGCGTTCACATGTCACTGTGCGGTCTTGAGGACTGTGACACTGCCGGAAGGAAAAGGTGAACACATCAAACGTCTCGTGTAGAAGCTTCGACCAGACGCTCCAGCCACCTCGATAGCCCATCGGTCGGCATCTGTTTTCCTGTACTTTGTCATGGATGAGGCAACGTGCCAGTCAGGAGGAGAACGTGTCAGTGCTCTTTCAAAGGTGGCCTGACCAGTCCCTGACGCAGCAAGGTGCGTTGCCGTGCGAGCGTGGACGGCAGCGTCTCCACACCCGAGGCCTCTCCCAGCCTCGCGGCTCGGGCAGGCCTGTGCCTGCACTCGTGTGTGCCCATCAGACACTCAGTGTCTACTTCTCGCGGCAGTCTGTAACACCACTCTGTATTAAAGAAAACGCGAAAACCGACTTGTGTCCAGGCAGTCCTTAGTGTGCTCTGTAAACAAAAAGCTGATGGCCCTGTCTTGCCTTTTCTTTTGAAAAGCACACCAGTGTCACCGACCATGAAACCTTGGTGGGGTTTGAGTTCTTTTCAATAAGGACGAAGACTACGTGATTGAAAACCTGAAACTTAAGAGTCAAATTCTCTGCCTCAGTAAAGTGGTGAATATTAGAGAAATGTATGTTTAAATATTAACTTCCTTTAGGCATAAAGAATTATGTACTAGGGCCAGCAGGTGGCATGGTGGTTAAGGTGGTGGGATTCCCACAGAACTGACCAAGGTTCAAGTCCTGGGCCTGGCAGCTTGTTTTCTCACTGTCCCTCTCTCTCTGTCTTTCTCTGGCAAAACACGTGAAAAAATAAGTAAATAGTTCTCTTAAAAAAAGAAGTATGTTCTCTTGTTTTCAGGGCAAGAATGTGTGCATGTACATGAACACACGCACGTGTGAATGCGCATGTACATGAACACACGCACGTGTGAATGCGCATGTACATGAACACGCATGTGTGAATGCGCATGTATATGAACGCACACACGTGTGAATGCGCATGTATATGAACACACACGCACGTGTGAATGCGCATGTGTATGAACGCACACGCACGTGTGAATGTGTCCAAGTCAGCTGGAGCCCGGAGCTGGGAGCGCAGTTAGGCTGGAAGCAAACCGGTCCTCCGTGTCACTGGGAGGCGCCGCGCAGGCCGGTCTGGCTTCCTCTGACTGGAACGCAGTGTGCTGGTCCGTTCAGCAAACCGCAGTCACATCGCAGCTGCTCAGACGGCCTGAGTGGCTGAGTCAGCACCCGTTCCCCACGCACGTTACCTCGTTCTTGGATGGACCAAGTAGCTCTTATCAGAACGGAAACTACAGTAATTCAAAATACATGCTTGAAGTTTTAAATTAGCAGTGTTTAATTTGTTAGAGAGAAAGATCCCAAGAGTCATGTATTGTTAGGTGAAGTCAGATTTACTTAAAAATTTAATAGAGATATACCCTTTGAGAAGCACAGAATTGTGGGGCCTGCATGTGGCATGGTGGTTAAGGGTGCTGGACTCCCTCATGGCCAACGGCAGTCCCAGTCCCAGACCTGGCGACTTGCTTTCTCTGTCGCTCTCTGTCCCTCTCTGGTCAAATTTAAATAAATAAATAAAGTTAAATAAAATATTTTTTTAAAAGAGGAAAAAAGAAGTACTGAGGGTCCAGCAGGTGGTAACGTAATGATTACATCACATTACAGAACAGTCTTTGGTAAACAAAATAATTTACCTTCTAAACAGCAAGTTGTGGTCTTAAATGCATATCACATTTAGCCAAGAGAACAAGGGTAGGGGGTCCTTTACTGCAGCTCCTAAGCATGGCCTGTGAAATTACCGAGGCTGACTGAATCTTGCACCTTGGCACAGGGCACCCTTCTTTTAAAAAGAATTATTATTGGGGCTGGCAGATAGCGTAACAGTTAGGGCACTGGTCTCACGTGGCCAACTGCAGTTGAGTCTCAGACCTGGTGACTTGCTTTCTCACTTTCCCTCTCTCTCTCTCTGTCCCTCTCTGGTCAAATTAAAATAAGTAAAGTTAAGTAACTCTTTTTAAAAAATAGAAAAAGAATGATTGTCATTATTTTTCAAGTTTGACCAGAGACAGCAAGCCACCAGGCTCGGGACTTGAACTCCTGTCAGCCATGTGGAAATCCAGCACCTTTAACCACCATGCCTCTTGCTGGCCTCAAGCACAAGATCATTTGCGTACTAACATGTTTGCACACCTCTACTACATGCCAGAAACAGCTGGGTGTTCTGCCTACCCTCCCTGGCTTGTTCCTGAACCTGCGAGAAGATGTATGCTTGCAGTGAGCAGAGAGCCCCCCGCGCTGACTCGGGTACGGCAAGAAGGCTGCAGGTGTGCGCACTGCTGGCGCCCTCGGACAGTCTAGCTGGAACCCGGGGAGCACGGCGGCTCCCCTGGGCCAGTCAGCAGGGCGTTCGTGACTTGGAATGAAGTGCTAACAGCATCGAGCTGACTTAGAATCCAAGTTTTTGGGTTGATTACATCTACATTAAAAGTTGCTTCAAAGCTCTCGTGCTGCCCAGAGTGTGCATTTTTCGGAAAACGTCAAAGATACTTGGACACGTTGGAAGTCAGCGAGCCTGGCTGTCGGTTCTCACACCCAGCCCGTAACCTGGAGAGGGGCCATCGGGAGGCTCCTGTGACACGGTATTTAACTTCTGCGGCCCCTTCACGCAGGGACGGCTGTCGCCTCCTGGACTGCCCCAGTGTGGGTGACCTGAGCAGTGTGAGGAGACCGAGCCTCACTCCAGGGAAGTCTGGCCGCCCCTCGCAGCAGGACGAGCACAGAGCAGCATGAGCCTACACAGGAAGGTCCACGCAGCGGGGCTGAGGACAGGCAGCCCTAACTAGCCTAATCCTCGAGGCCCAGCTTCCCTCCTCTACCCCGGACAGGATGGACAGACTAGGACAGTGCGGCGGGCCCACGTCCTCCACCAGTGTTCCTCTCGCAGTGAAGAAGTCGTCCACTGCGAATCTGTGTGAGACACCTGACAGGTGCACGGCAGGGGGGAGGCCACTCTCTGTGCTTGCTGGGTGACCCTCGGCTTGCAACGGCTGCAGCTAGGCTGAAATCAGGTGGACGGTAAGGCCTGGAGCCACTGCTGTGCTGGCACGAAGCGTGGTTTGTGCGGGAGGAGGTCTGGAGTGCTGATGCCATAAGGAGAACACAGAGTCAGGCTTTTAGAATTCGTTTCCACAGGGAGCACGCTGCCTCACTGCGCGACTGCGGGCCGGCCTAATGCGCCCCTGCGGGCCCTGCAGAGCGCCGTGGCCGCGGTCTCAGCGCCCTGCCGCTTCCCGTGCCCCTCCGCATGCCCCACGGCTGGAATCGATGCCGTCCCAGGTGGGGTCTTGGGCCTCCCACCTCAGGTCCGACTGCAGGGCTGTATTTTTCACACAGCAGGGACAGGTGCTGTGTCAGCCTCACCATGCCCACGATCAGGGCACCGCCTAGCAGAGTCAGCGAGGGCCACAGCAGGCAGTGGGAGACGGCCGTGTGGTCACACCTGTCCACAAGGACAATGTCGGGTTGCCTGTCTGGGCTGTAGAAGCATGAAAAAGGAGTTCCGTTTTTGTGATCGAAGAATTCCTTTATGTCCAGAGCACTGCTGAGCAAGTCTTTCCGGTCTCGGTGGCACTTGGGTGTGTAAAAGCACTGGGGATGGAGGGGACAAGGATGAGGGTGCCGCCATACCCAGCACTTACCAGCTTTAATTCTGAATGGGTACAGGCCAACGCTCTTCGTGGGCATTTCCACTTTAGAAGGCGAGAAAATACTACATAGCTCACGGGTGGGCTGGCAGGGGGCACAGGACGGGATGCGCCCTCCAGGCACCAAGCAAAGGCGTGGGAGGGAGTTTTCGGATTCTCTGGCTACACATGAAGCAAGGACCAACTCCAGAGGTGCCGGGGCTCTGGGCCTCTGCCCAGACAGTGACCCAGTGAGTCTGGCCATCAGCATACTGGGCCCTCCGGGCTGCTCGCGACGCCTGCTCACGTAGGGTTTTTGAGCTGCCAGCCTCTGGCCAGACCTTCGCCCTGTCCTCGGAGAAGGGGCCCCACTGGCTTTGCTTTGGCAGGACCAGTGGAGGGAGGCACACCACCTGCTGGGTGTTTCAGAGCTGGGGGCTTGTGGCCGTGTGCTGGAGCCACTGTGGTACTGTGTGCTTAGATGTTTGGGACCTAGGGAAACGCTGTACCCAGGGCCAGCAGGTGGCCTGTGGTTATGGTGCTAGACTCCCACGTGGCTGACCGTGGTCCTCGTCCTGGACCTGGCCACTTGAAAACTCACACTGGGGGTGTGTGCACGCATGCCCAAAATCTCAAGAGGCAACTCGAAGAGATGGGATTGTGGTGGGGCCATCATGCCTGGGGGAGATTTCTGATTTTCCTTCTCTCTGTCTCTCTCTGTCTCTCCCCAGTGAGTGCACGTGCCCTATGGCAAAAACCTAAAAAAGAAAAAAAGAACTGTTTCCAAAATAGAAAACAGATCATCAGATTGGGAATTAGTGCTTAATTATAAAGACATGCCAACCACCCAGTTAAAGGATGTCACCCAGTCTAACACTTTTATAATCAGGTAAAAATACAAACTTTAAATCATATGAGCTAGTTTTGTCATTTATTCAAATCAAAATTATAATTATCGTTTAATATCGTTATAATTATCTTAGATAATAAAATTGATTTGACTTAAGGTAGACTGAGTATAGTTTAATTCTTTTATTTTTAAGACCAGATCTTGCTGTATTGACACATTCTCACCTCGTACCCACCCCACCCCCCCAGCAGCTGGGGCTGCGGGAACACCACACTCAGATTGTAGGCGGGTCAAGCTCCAGCCCAGCGCTCCGGTGGGCAGCGGCCGGGCAGCGCTCTGGCAGCTTGGGGCTGGGCCTGTCGCCACCTGCTAATGTGTGCCAAGTGGGGCTGCCCGCAGATAACCGGGCTCATGCAGAGCCTGTAGTTCCAGTGCCAAATGGTGAGACCGGAATGAGTCCTCTCCTCTCTCCACACCTCGTTTCTCCTGCAAGCTCTACCCTGTGGACCACTATAAAATCTTCACTAGAAGGAAGCAGACTCTTCCCTGCCAGGCACAGTAGGCGCAGAAAGGCAGCTGGCAGAGAATGCTTCCATGCTGTGACCTTCCCTTACCTGGGGGTTTCTCTGTGCCGCCTCTTCGTTGTAATGTAGGAGAGCGCTCCTACCCGAGTGGCCGAGGGCCACGAACACCTGCAGGCACGGGCACTGGCCCTGGCTGCAGTCCGGCCCGCCATCCACGATGTGTGTGCTCATGGTCGTGCAGTTCGATTCTTCTCTCTGTGGGCTTCCGTTTGGAAAAACAAAATGCTTCACTGACGGAAGTTCAGCTCTGCTTCTACGCGGTATCCCACAGCGCTGCCCATCGGACGAGGCCGGGAGGTACGTAACAGCCAGCAGGCACCGAGGGCAGAGGCAGGAGTAGCAGAAACTGCCATGCCCCAGTGGGCTCTGACCTGCTGGCCTCTTTTGCACTGTGCCAGCCCCCACATCACTGGGGGGTTTTGTTATTTTTGGGGGGGAGAGGGAGGTTTTTGCTATAAGGCGCTCGCACTCGCCAGAAAGAGACAGAGAGACAGAAAGTGAGAAATCAACCCCCCAGGGGATGGCCACGCTGCAATCCCTTCTCCTCCATTCTCCTCTCAGGATCTTGGGCACGCACACATGTGTGTTCAGCATGGTTTTCAAGCCACAGACTCTAGGACTCAAATTGCAGTCAGCATGTGGGAGTCCAACACCCTAACTATCATGCCACCTGCTAGCTCTCTAAATATCTTTTTATTAGGACTAGCAGTTAACTTAACGGCTATGTCACTGAACTCCCATGTGGTCGACTGTGGTTCGAGTCCCAGACGTGGTGGCTTAAACTCACGCTGGGCGCATGTGCGTGCATGCCCAAGATCCCGAGAGGAGAATGGAGAAGGGATTGCGGCATGGCCATCCCCCCCGGAGGTGATTTCTCGCTTTCTGTCTCTCTGTCTCTCTCTCTTTCTGGCGAGTGCACGCGCCCTATAGCAAAAACATCTAAAAATATATATTTTATCATAAATAATCATGTACGTTTACTAATATAACGAACTTGAACCACACTACACAAGTTAACATCCCAAGGATTAGAATATAAAAAATAAAAAATTAAAAAATTAAAATAATTTACTGGCCGTGGCTTTAGGAAAAATGATTAAGTAAGTGAAAACATAAAAATGGAAAATCAGGTTCTTTCAGAGGTCTAACACTGGCCTGGTTTTTCACTAAATTAATATATGCAATTATTTAAGCTAGAAATCTTGGAATAATACATTGCATTGTCCGTTTATCTGTTGGAACTTAAGTTCTCTAAATTCTATCCAAGTCCTGAACCCAGGATGGTTCGAGTCTTCCTTGAAGATCTCAGAGCAGACCGAGAGGCGCGGGCAGTCCCTGCTGTGCGCCAGGCCAGGCCAGCGCCCTCCGCAGGACCAGCTGCCCCCCCAGCCGGGCGGGGTGTCTGTTCGCCCGCAGTGAGACAGAGACAGGGACGGAAGGCGTGGGCGAGCGCGAAGAGCGAGGCCGCTGCGGTGGCTGGAGGCGAGCTCTCACGCCCCTAAGCGTCCGCTCGGGACAATTAGAAAAGCAGACCCCAGCCTGTGGGTGACAGCGAGCGCCCTCAGACCTCTCCCGAATGCTCAGACCCCACGTTTGAAGGAATCGCCGCCCGCCTGCACACGCACACGCGGACACGCCGCCTCGCGGGGACACGCGCGCCACACAGCGCAGCCCGAAATGACAGGACGGCGTCGGGGCGAGGAGCACGCGGGCGCCTGAGGTTACTAGCGGCCA